GCCTGCTGTTTTAATTGACTTCATGTAGTGTGGAACTTAGCTCTTCCTATTTAGAAATGCTTAGGAAATTTGAATCTTAATTTCTCAAATATGATAAAAGTACTGCAAGAAATTAAGGAGTGACTTGAAAATGCAAGGAAAGGTGCAAATTTATGTACTTGCCAAAGTTCTGGGTTATCAAATTGAAGTCTCCAGTACTAGGCAAGAATTAAATGCATTGTCCTTTTTGAAGTAAAACAGTAGATTTCCTTTCACGTCCATGTGAACAAATAAGCATTGCAAAATATATTATAAGGTGTACTTATTGCTTCCCTTGGTGGTAGTTTCAGCTAAGATCAAAGACCAAGAACATATTCAGACCAAATCACTTTCCTCCCAAGGTGAGGGACACCAGGAGCAATGCTGTTGCTTACCAGTCTGTGGATAACCACAGTAAAACATTTTGTTTGGCTGCTGTAAAAGCATCAGCCTTCAAGCACAGAGTTGGAATAATGATAGTTGGATGAAAATCTAAAAATAAGATATTTTTGGATGAAAAAGGGATATGTCTATGAGAAAATTAAGGTCAGTAGAAATTTTAGGAGAGAATATTTTGAATAGAATTTTGACGAACACTTCTGAATTTGACACAAGGGACAGAAAATCAAAGCTATTCTAATGAAAACAAGCAGGTCTATACTTTCTGAGTTCATTGCATACTGTGTGCTACAAGAAAATTTTGGAAATTCAAACTTCCATGCAGAATGTTTTCTATCAATTACACAGATTATCCCTCACAGAACCAAAGATGTTATCAAGTGTTTTGTTAGGCAAAATAAGACTTTACCAATGCCAAAGGATTCTGGTTTTATATAACCCTCGGCATTGGCATTATTGTTCTTCCACCAAATGTACAATGAAGTTACGTATACACAACATTTGGGATGCTTTCTTTTCCTAGACTGCATTGGGCAGTCATTCCAGTGAAATTCAGCTGGTCCATTTTCCTTAATATTCCCTTCAAGCACAAGTTGACATCCTTATCACACTTTTTGCCAGGCAAGTCCTTGAAGTACCTAAATTATTATAGGAACTAAATAATTGATAGCTCAGTAAAGAACAGCAAAAATACCTTTGGTTTGTATAAAAAATTACTTCTCAATATGAAAAATACAATACCTTTTTTGGTACAAAAGCTACTGATATAATTTCAAAACAAGCAAAGTAATATATTTTAGTAAGAGAGGATTTTCTTTTTAATTGTAATTGCTGGGGATCATGCAATTTTAGTAAGTGAAAGTTTATCTACAGCCCAAATAAATGTTACTTCGGTGATAGCTTTTATAAAACTGCATTAAGCATCAAGATGCTCATCATACTTAACACTTGGGTCTACTACAGTGAAAGTATGAGCACTGCAAGCAGTGATGAGAGGTTTACAGTGGTTTTATTATTAGCAAAACCCATTTAAATAATGTTTGATTTGTCAGGCTTTAAAATGAATACGCAATCTGCAGGCAAGCCTGAAAATATTTTTATCTGATGAAATATCAGTGTATGCAGAAAAAATGGACATATAATTCTGTCACTTCATTCACACAAGTGATATTACTTTTCTTAAATGTACTACCTTTAAAAGCATTTTGTTCAGGATCCACTCATGCAATTTTGAAGAGTTTCATTCAGAAGAGAAAAATAAGGGATATAGATAGAGCTCTATCAGACTTCAAGTTCCTGTTTTCTCCATTAATAAACCTATGGCTTTAACACATTATGTATCTCAACTTTGAAACTGGAGAGGTTAAAGAAGATTACATGACAGCAAGAAAGGAGTTTTATCTTCCTTTGCCCCCAGTAGTTGGTCATGCTTTAGATTTTAGTGAAGAAATAGGTTTTTAACCTTTCATTCTTATTTAGTTAACAGAAATGATAATGACATACAATTGAAAACACTCTGCAAATGTGTAGGCATGGGAATTGTGTCAAAAGACCAAAAAAATTGCAGTATTACCACAGTCACTATTACCACTTCCAAGATTTTCATCTCTCGATCCAAATTCGTTTAAGGACGACGCAAAAATCAAGATATTTTAACCACTACTTTAAGAGTGTCAAAGGTTGTGTCACATTTTGTTTCCAATATAATTCAGAAAATTTCCATGAGGATTGTCCAAAGAGGGCCTTTTCTTGTTACTTCTGTTCTGAAGAGGAGTGTAACTCCCCAGTCCTCATCCCACCTGTAACGTGCTAACAGCTATTTTCAGTCCCCTTCCAGTGGATCCAAGGCTACACTTCCACTCTCTCCTTAGGATGAAAACCAGAAATGTCTTGACATTTAAATGAGTTAGGAATGCAAATAAAGAAAGCATGGCCTTCTTTAGAGTTTTATATTATTTCATGATTTCGACACAGTTTTAACAGTGATAAGGTAGGATCTAATTCTGTAATATTTCACAAAATATATAGTACCTGTATTTCCAGACTGATTATATTTTTCTGATCAGCTGAAGTTTGCTGTTTGTTGAAAACTATGTTTTAGGGGAAAAAAAATGCTTATGTGCCTCTGAAAAGAAAACTTTCAGGTTTTTAGTTAATAAACAACTTTCCAAAATCCTCTTAGTCAGTCATTTAGAAACTGAGTATTGACTCCATTGTGAGAGACTTGTTCAGCCTGGAGGAGACTGAGGTGAGACCTTGTTGCCGTCCTTATTAGGGGAAGCAAAAGGGTTGGTACGGACCTTTTCACACTTGTGACCAGTGACAAGACCCGAGGGAATGGCCTGAAGCTGTGTCAGGGGAGGTTTAGATTGGACATTAGAGAAAGGTTCTTCACCCAGAGGGTGTTTGGGCACTGGAACAGCTCCCCAGGGCAGTGGTGACAGCACCAGACTGACAGAGTTCAAGAAGTGCTTGGACAATGTTCTGAGGCACCTGGAGAGACTCTTGGGCTGTCCTGTGCAGGGTCAGGAGCGGGATTTGAACAATTTTGTGGGTCCCTTCTAACTCAGCTTATTCTCTGATTCTGTAAGTAATACTATTTTTACTTAGTGAAGTAGCAGTGACATTCTAGCAGCACAGTGAAGAGGAGGTAATAAACTCAAATAGCTGGTTAAATCTACCAAGTTTTGGCCAAATTTTAATCATGTCAGGACAGATAAAGCAATCAGTAATTTTAGTGAGATTTGCATGAATATTTGTCTGAAAATAGAATGTCAAATTTGATCGCTTTGAACTAACCTTATTTCTATTAATTTGAGCGAGGGCTTTCTCTTGCAGAAATGAAATTAATGAAGAATTATTAAGAGAGATTTAAAAAGTCCTATTTTTAATATAATAAATTATATTAAATTAGCTTTATTTTGGTATGAGATATGAAATTACTTTTAAAATTTCCTAACCTGTGAATTTTTCCCAGTGATTAAAAATTTCCTTTGAAGAGAGATGCTGAAATACATGGAAAGAACCATATAACATAGATTTCAATTGTTTGGGAATGACTTGAAGTTAAATTGTACAGGGTGCTTTCTTGAATCAAAGAATGACCTTGAAGTTAAAAAATAGTGAAAGTTTTCCTTCTTATTTAAATAGTGTTGTTTTGAGTGTTGTATTCCTCAGATGAAGGTAACTATGCTAAGAACCTTCCCACTTAATATACCTTAGTAATATTGTTCAATTAAAAGGTTTATTTAAGTAAACTCAAATTTTAAAAACATGAACCCCTGAACAAGTGGATATGACTTCCATAAAGAGTATGACTTCCATTCAGACAAGGAGAAGAATAAATTGATTGCAGCTGACAAGTTTTTTAATGCCAAGTTAACTTTGCTACATTGTACTCAAATGAGATACATTAAGTTTTAGAATTTTCTGACCTTTATGAACTTCATTTTTCTCTGTTAACATAGCATGGACATTTGATTTACATTTCATTACTTGGAAGAGTTTGTTAAATGACTGTAGATTCCATTTCCAAACTTGTTCACATTAAAAGATTTCTTTCTACTAAGAAATGTTCAAATCATTTTACATGAGACAGGTTTGAATTATTTGATCATACTGAGGTCTTTAGTTTTAAGTTTTCCTATTCTTCTTGGATGTGCTTTTCTGATGTGCTAGGGTGATGGAGACAAAACAGTCCTATTCTAGTTAAGAACTCAAGGACAGTTTCTCCAAAATTCAGGCCCTAAGCACAAACCACGTGGAAAGGTGGAGGGCGGGTTCATGCAAATTAACCAGAACCTATAAAGTGTAAAATTTTGTGACCAACCTCTCTTTTCCTTCCATCTTGGAACCATCCAGGCAGGGACCACGACTGTGGCACTTGTATTGCTGGGGTGTGCCTTTGTAGGCCTTTGTAGGCATCACAATAATTACCCATTTTATTCTCCTTAACTCTGTGTGTAGCCTCTGTTCCAGCTCCTCAAGGCATCAATACCATTTGATCATATTAAACTCCTTTTGATTCAAGTGGCAATATTTGAAACTGGTATGCATACTTTTGTCCATATGATTCTTGACTTAAATGATGATTACATAGCTGGGAAGTACCTCATGCAGAGGAGTTAGTAAATATAGCCCTTGCTATTCAGATATTAAAATATATTCTAGGCAAGTATAACATTGGGAGGTGAGGGCATTTCAACAGACATGTTATCTGTGAGAGAAACATCAGTACTTACAGTAGCATCCTTTCCATATTAAAATCAGAAGAAGAATGTAAGTAGGATTTGATGAAAACTCCTTTCTGTTCCCTCACAAATATTACCAGATACATCACTAATAATAGGACGTACAAGTTCAAATTTAATATTTTCTTGAAGAAAACTACTTGGAGTAATTCTAGTGATCTGCAGTTTGCACCTCCTCTATCTAACATTTCTTTCCAATATTACTGCAACCAGTTATCTCTCATTTTGGTCAAAATTTGGTAAATGAGAGCAATAATAAATAAATAAATATATAAACAAATAAATAATAAATAAAAGCATGCAAATTTTTGTCACAAATGCATGGTCACTTACTGCCTTGATGCTTTCAAAGTGTCCACCTTCTTTCTCAAAGTCAATAGGCTGCCCATTGAGCGTCCAGTAGAAGGTGACATCCATTGTGCTGTCATGAAGGGCTTTGCAACTGAGGACGATGCTCTCTCCAACTGTTAACTCAATCTTCTTGGGAGTCAGCTCTATTCTTGTAGGTTCTTGAAACAGAGAAGTGTTAGGAACACTGAGACGGAAGTCTACTTATAGTGCCAGACTAAAATAATAGGATTGAGTACTGCTGAGTCTACTCAGAGCTTACATTTGCTCTTGGTATGAATTGCAGATTGTCAAAAAATGAAATATATTCATAATTCACACTGAAGTATGACACTGGCCATCAGAAGGTACAGGCAGTTTCATGAAGTCAGTAAGGCAGAATCCTAAACAGCAATCTCTAAGATATTTGAGATACTCTGAGATGGATTAATTAATTAATTTTATTAGTTTCAGGAAAAGCGATTTTTTTTTTTTCTGCAGCACCTGGAATCTTGTGATTGCATAAAAATTTCAGTTTTGCCACATGAAATAATAAAGGATGTTTCCTGGATTACTGAATATAAGAAGAAGCTTGAGAAATTAAGTCAAAATGCTTGAACACCTGCAAAGGAAATTCATGAATTCAGCTGAAAAATGAAAAAAAATGGTTCAGAAATTGATTTCTACTCAGTGGCTTTATTGTTATTATTAATCTTCTATGGTACTACCTTTCTCATGAAAGAGAAAAGTACTACCTTTCTTATTAAAGTAATAATTAAATTATTACTTTAATTTAAAGGTTTGTTCTCATGCAGAAAAAATTTGGGGTGAGTTCCTAAAGATAAAATATTTTAAAATGGATATTGATTCCTTTACTTATAGAATTATTTGTAGTTTGAGTGGTTTAATGTATATACTAATTCTTATGACACATCTAAAATTTAACAGCTGGAGTATGCAATCTGATTTGATGTTTGACCAGATGGCGTTTAGTCCCCTTACCTGGTTGGAAATACTCTTTTATTCTGCCTGGAGAATGTTGTTTTATGGTTGGATGGGGATTCTAAGTAATATTTAACTATTAGTCAAAATAAATCATCATTACCATCAAAGCATTTTTTCATACCTTTAACAGACACCGATGCACTGATTTCTGCAGATCCAAATATATTTACACCTTGGCATAAATACCGTCCTTCATCAGACTTGGAAGCATTCAGGATTCGCAGACTCCCATGTGGAAGAATAGTTATCCTGGAAAGGATAAATCCATTAATATATAAATATCTCTCCCATCCTACCAGCCAAATTCCATGATGATATCTTTCAGACATAATAAATAGGATTAAGGAACGCTGTTTCTGGAGCAAGGGATGATAAAGATGATAACTGAATTATCTTCTGTTTCAAAAAGGTTTTAATAAATCCATTTTGCTACTCCTTCCTTCATTCAAAATTTTCACGGAATCATCAGTGGATTAGTGTCCTTTGACACTTATTAGGGGTGAATTGTAATGAAACTTTTGTAGAACAGTAAAAAAGGTAATCCTTCATAATTTGTCTTCAGAGTTTTACCACTATATTATTGTCAAATCACATTTCAATATCAAGCACAGGCTATTCCATCTAGGAAAAAATGACCTTAGAAATCAGATCTGAGAAGAATGGGAAGCAAAATTTAAAAAAAAAAACAAGGAAAGAACCCTGTAAAATTTCTTGTATCAGCTCAAAACATGATTTATAGCATCACAGCACAGTGCAGCAAAGGGTCTTAAATAATCTTTGCTTTTTGTAGATGGGCTTTTATTTTTTTCTCTGAGTCTATAATTGCAGCTCCACTATGCTTCTTGGTAAGTAACCCCACTATAGCATATTCATGAGGAATGTTCAGCTGCTCACATTTAGGAGTTTTAAATTTTGGTTGTGCTTACACAATATTAAGTCCATGAAACAGCTTTTAATTAACACTTTTTTTTTTTTCTTCTAAAATGACCAAGACCCTGAATTTATTCTATCTTAGAGTTGCAGCCCTGGAAGAGCAGTAAATAATAATGGCTCTTTTCCTGACAGAGAACTAGGAATAAAAGGAATATGACAACTCTTAGAGGGCATTTAATCCAAGCCCTGCTTGCAGGTTTTGTGTATCCTTTCCCAGGTTAGGTAATGGCTACAACTCTCTCGAAGGTCTTGGGAGATGTAGGCTGGGAGGCATGGACACTGGAAGGAAATAATCCTCAGCCAGTGGTTTCAGGCATCCCATTGAAATGGGGGAGGACGTGGGGTGCTTCCTTCTCCTGGGTTTGAAAACTAAGGTAAGACCTCTGTGTTAGAGAATCTAAATAAGTAGGTGTGGGGGTCTTCTTCATGGATGGTTAGGTTTGAAATATACCTGTCCAGAGAGGATTTTCTGACTGATACAATATATATAGACTGACACTCTTTTCTGTTGGGAATCCTCTGTGGAGTCTATGATCAGAAATCATGGAGGGTACAATGTTGTGTTTTACTCTTGAGAAGTATTTAATTAGGAGTATGGCACCTTTGACAGGGGTGGGTTGGGCTTAGCAGCAGCAAAAGAGGGAAGGAATTGCATTTATAGGCTGTATGTGTTAAATTTCAAAGCTGTTACCTTTGATTTATACTAGGAGTGATTTACATAGGCTTAAAATTGAATAATGTGCTCAAATTAAACCATTAATATAAGACTGCATGTATTTTCTTTCCCTTCCTTTTCCTTCCTTCCTTCCTTCCTTCCTTCCTTCCTTCCTTCCTTCCTTCCTTCCTTCCTTCCTTCCTTCCTTCCTTCCTTCCTTCCT